TATGTCATAAGACTATTTACCGATCGTCGCTGTTTTCTTTTTTCTTGTTGTTGGTGGGTAATTGTTTGGTTTTTTTCCTGTGGAAACCTCGGGTTTCTTCCTTTAAAAAGTGTATTAATATAAGACCTACATTGCAAACCATGCTTTATACCTCATGTGGGTTATAAAGGCACCAAATTTGAATCTTGCAGGAATACTAGACGAAGTCAAATTGAAAATATTGAACATGTTCCAGTTATTTCAAGAATGTAAAGCGATTTCAATTGCTCTTGTGACCTTACATTTTATTTTTGGAAAGCACAGCTTTGTGATATTCATTCTTGTCAATTGATACAGAAACGACACTACATTAGTTTAATGACATTATCATATGTTTTCGTTTCTGTCAAAACAAAGCACTGTGAAAGAATTTTGTGCGCGTTTTGTCCGATATTAATCGAGGTAAAGAGAGTTCGTAAAAATTACAAATTTACAAAGCGTTAATTTTGTTATTTTATTAACCTTCACGGATAAAAGACGTTAGTTGCAATGATATTTTTCCTTTCGAGGTCTCACTCTTTGACAGAGATGTGTCCGAAATGCAAGTTATTCTGCAAAACGTTTAATGCATTTATTTGTCAGTTTTATTATGCCGATCTTATTTTTGTTTGTGCGAAACCGTCAATTGAATGATGCATATAATGTTTCTGGTTAAGATTTCAACATTGGTGTTTCTTTTTTTTTTGCAACTCCAAAAAAAAAATTGAGTGTTTTGCATTTTAATGGCTTCCAAATTTTGAGGTTTAAGCGTTCCTGATGAAGGTAAAACCAGATAAGCGCTTTGGACGCTGTGCGTTTATAGGGTGTTAGTAAAGCTGCCAAAGGCGGTACGTGCATGCATACGCACAGTAAAAGATAACATGTTAATGATTGAGGCGTCTATGGTTTATAACTTTGCAGAGAAACTTTGATTCCTTATGACTGTAATAACCAAACGGAATTCAAAAACTTTACATTTTGACTTTTTTGGTCTCAGCTCATTTTCTTATTTTTTTTTCTTTCTTAAGACATTCATTTCTATAATTACATATTCATTTACAGAAAGGACGTGTATATTATCATTAAATAATGTTCAAACAGTTGTTCGTTATTTGTATATGTGTTAAATTTGAATCTACATTGTTTGTTCACTGTACTGCTTTTGATCTTCTGAAGTACCTGCAGTTTTCTTATAATTTCAGCGAACAATGTAACAGACATAAATCGAAGAACATTGATATTCTCGTGTTGTATATAATAGTGTTTTCGGTAAAGCAGATAATCAAAAGAATTTCTAATAAATAAAAGATTTGAAGGGTAACGACCTTAATATAACGGGAATAAACAACAGGTGTTTTCGATAAATCGAAATTGCATGTCTATCAATTAGCCAGAAGACCGATCCTAAATAAAATTTGACTTTAGAAAGAAATCTTATTTCTGAACTAATTTCTATTACGTTTAGATAAATAACAACACGGCATTCGAAATAAAACAGAACGGCGTTTTACGTTGAAATCAATCTATGTCAAGAGTAAAAGGATTTAAGTTTTGATTTTTTTCTTCAAATCTATAAAATCATGTTGATTTCAGACAAAAACATTCTATTTTTTTCTTGTTGTGCAATGTGGGAATTGTAGATTTCATGCTCGTTTCAGTCAATACATTATTAGTTAAGAATGTTTGTATATTTAATGAAACTATAATACAACATATTCATCGATCAAGTTGAATATCATATCACATTCAATACTAACCATAAATGATCATGCTCGAGAGCAAAGGTCGAGAGTTTGATATGGGGTGTGTTATGATTTAATTTATATTAAACATTTGATTTACTAACTATGGGTTGTTTGGCATGTGATTTATTTGGGGTGTGACTGACATTTGTATTCTGATATGAGCCATACATTTTATCATTATAATATACCAGTATTCATAGCTAACTATATGATAACAGTTTTATAGTCATTTTGATTATTTAAACCTGTACATTTCAAAAGAAACATTTCGGAATCTATATTCTTCATGCTTTTGAGAAGTTTTGTTTTTATAGTTTTGAGTTATCTTCGTGTAGATATGACGTATTCTATATTCATGACTTCAATATTAATCAGGTAAAATTGTCTTTCAGGTAAATTATTTCAGTATTCATTTTTATATTCCATATCATTTACTCTCCGTTGAAAATCATGTCAAACTGTCTCCGGTACAGCCTTTGATTATTCATTTCCTTTAATCTTGAAAACATAATTGTAGTTTCCCTCCCTTAACTTATGCAAAACTGTAAATGCATGAATAACTTTGGTGTGCGTTTTGTCTGATATTAATCGAGGTAAAGAGAGTTTGTAAAAATTACAAATTTACAAAGCGTTCATTTTGTTATTCTTTTAACCTTCACGGATAAAAGACGTTAGTTGCAATGATATTTTTCCTTTTGATGTCTCACCATTTGACAGCTCTATATGTCCGAAATGCATGTTATTCTGCAAACTTAAAGGTTTATTACATTTATTTGTCAGTTTTATTATGGCGATTTTTGTTTGTGCCAAACCGTCAATGCAATGCTACATAATATGTTTCTGGTTCAGAATTCAATATTGTTTTTTTTTTTGCAATTCCAAATAAAAAAAGTGTTTTGCATTTTAATGGTTTCCAAATTTTGAGGTTTAAACTGTCTCCGGTACAGCCTTTGATTATTCATTTTCTTCATTTGCAAAACATAATTGTAGTCTCCCTCCCTTAACTAACACAAAACTGTAGAATGCATGAATAACTTTATTCTAGAACTATGATATGGTTTTACCACGCTATTGTGTGTATACATAATATAACTGTAATGTTATAAGCATCTGTTGGTTGTTTTCATAGAACGATTTCAAAGTATTCTTTATTTATAGTCAATACTTATTTTTTTCTGCAATCAATAGACATGAAAAACTAAATAATTCACAGTAATTTGCTATCAAGACAATCAGTAGATATTTATAAATGTGTGCATAAAGTACTCTCGATCTACTTGATAGAATAGTATTAAAATGTACTTAGGGTTATTAACATGGAAACAATATAAAAAGATTAACTTAAACTTGTATAATAAACATAACAAAGCAAAAAATTGTACTCCCATACACATTATGTTAGATATGTATAAAGACTTCAGCAAAAACGCATTTCTAAGATGCTTTCATGCGCAACGTGTTGCAATTCTTCATTGAATGCGCCAATATTTTATTAAAATGAGTGTCAATTACATTTGTTTGTCATCATAACATTGCATGTTGCTAATTAATAAAAAAAACATTAACAAGTTTTGCAGTGCAGCAAGTTTAACGGAAAACCTAATTTATTTTCAATCAAACATTAAAGTCGTTAACAAGACAGGAAGGTGTAGTTTATGATATTTTTCAATAATGGGCATCTTCGATGTATGTAGTTTATGATATTTTTCAATAATGGGCATCTTCGATGTATCACGAAGTGTCATATAAGCATTTAATTGTATTTTCACCATCAAATGAGACTTAAATTAATTCTAGATAGAATTGCTTTCAGGCTCAGTGTTTATAAATGCGTTAAAATTACGATTCCAGCGAAGCTTTGTAATTAGCAATTAATTTCAGAGTTATTGATTCCATCAACTAGCCACGAGATATTCCGCAAGAAAAATCACAAAAATGTATTGGCCTTTGATGTAATATACAACCCAGGTGGCTCTCGGTAATGACAGACTACTAATAACGATCTATATTCTTTTGTTTCTTAAATTGTTTTCCAAACAATTCCCTTGTGGTTACTTGTTCGTTAGCGATGAAATTTGTACCATCTTGACCTTCGATCATAACCATTCTAGTAGTATCATTTCACGGCATTTAACAAAAAATACTAGTAATTATTTAGAATTAAGCATTTTCATCAGCACTAGGTGGTTCGAATATCAATACTTTCTATTTTACAGTTTTGTGGTTTAGGGGAAGAAAAATCTTGGTAGTAAAGTGCGATTTTTACCGAAGGATTGCGTTTCATTTTGTCTATATGGAATGAAAACGTTCACATTGCTTTTCTTCGTTTTTGTTTTAAAATTACAAAAAAAAGATATATTCTATTCGTCATGAATACAATAGAAATGAATTTATGTACATGTATAGTGTATTTACACACACTAACAAAGCCTAAAGCAAAGAAAGGTATTTTGCTGTTCTTCATCTTAAAGTCACGGAGAACTCTTGAATGTACAGAGTAACAGCTAACACCTGACTGCAAGTTCTTGACGGCCACATGCACCTGTTTGAGCGGACTACCTCGCTAGATGTTAATACCAATTCATTTGTGCTTTGAAAAAAACAGCAGATGCGTTGTAATATATACTATATAGGGCAAAAAAACGTGAGAAATACTGTAATTGAATACTTCGTTACGGGCCATTTAAGGTTATGTTGTATTCAAACAGAAAAGGCGAAATGTGAAGTCAATTATTTATGTTTCTCAATTTACTCTAAAGTAATTGTGATTTAAAATCTTTAATATGTGTTTTATAATTTTTCTTTTTTTCTTTTGTCACTTAGTAAGTTGTTTCCATGTTGTTTGATGAAACATACTCGTATCACATCTTTTAATTATATGAAATCGACACGTATTTTTGCTATTTGAATTTGCCTTTATCACAAAATCAAATTAGAAAATATAATGCACTTCTAAAATCTAATTTTCAAAACATTTGATTAGAATCTTGTAGTCTTAGTTGACATTTAGTTTCCCGGCTTAATAGTGTTTGTATCATAAAGTAAAAATTTTTTTTTTTTTATATTTCATGTTTTAAGTTACTGATGAATAAGAAAGCTCAACAACTGCAAATCCTGCAAATGTGCTAAAATTCAAGTATAAAAAAGATAAGATTTAATCAGAAAAATTTACACAGCAACATCCAGAACAAAAAATTCTTTGTAAGTGTGGAACAATGATATAAAAATGCATCAAACCTGATTAGTAGCTTCCAGTTAAGATCCAGAAAATCTTCATCACACAGCGACAATCCTTCTCCAAACTCTACTGCAATCGATTTGACGATCAAGCTCTACAAAGCATATTGATATTAGCTTGTCACAGAAAAAAATCTCCTCTAATCCAGGCGTATTACGAAAGACAACTCCAAAACACACTAAACAGACGATAAGTGAGCACGAGTAAAATATTGAGAAGATGAAGGCAGAGGATATCGTCTGCTTTATAACCATGCAAATCAATAGATAGTGTTCATTATCATAGTGCGCATCCTCTACGAATACTATTGCTTGTTAACGGATGTTAAAAAAATAGAAATATTGATTAAAATGTGGCTAGATCAATTATGTAGTTATTAAAGAAACACCCGAGGATTTAAAATGGTCACCATACTGTTTTTCTTTGGCTAGTTTTGTTTCTAATTGATTATAGTATCTATTCCATTAACGACGGTTTCAATATCAAAATATAAGCAAAAAATGAATATTTGTTGAGACAACAATCACAAGTAGGATTTTTTACTGCTGTTTATCTGGATGATGATTAAATTGGTTGGAAATATATAAAAAATTTAATCAGTTGTATTGTTCCTTCCTCTTTTTGTAAGAGGTAAAAATCATTCCAGAATATTACACCAAGAAATGAACTTTAATATCTATAAATGGTGGTCATTAATATTTCAAATCCAATAAAAGTACAAGATGTAAAAAAAATAATTAATTGAAAATAGTTATAAAAGAAATCATTAATATCCTACACGCAACAAGCAAAACATTGTTTTCTCTAATCCTTTAGAATTTAATATTCATAGAAATCAATTGAAATTTTAAACGATTGATAATCTCTGTTACTGGTATATTATTACTGTTTTGTTAATATGCTATTTAGTGTATAATTGTACTTGATATTTGTAGATTTCCCATAAGTATTGTAAAATATAACATAAATGCTTTCGTTCAAAAAATCAGGATATTGGAGTCATGGCGTTTGACAACCCTTTTTAATAAAGTAATCAGTAGCTATTGTCAATAAAAAAAGATAATTGTAGTTTGAAGCATGAACAGAATTAGTTGAATTTTACAATGAACAAATCTCTTATTGCCCATACTTACTGCATAGTTTTAAAAACTTTTTCATTTTAACAGAACACATATAAAATTGCTTCCTTATTCGTAAAATACTAGACAGAACAATAAAATAATTGTCAAGAAATAGAAGTCATCGGCTTTTACAAAGCTAATATGCACTGACGTTACCTCTCTACAAGAATGCTACATGTATCACTTTACAATTGCTTTCATCTGTTTTTACAAAGTTTGAATACATGGGTACATTACCTCATAACAAGAATGCTACATGTATCACTTTACAATTGCTTTCATCGGTTTTACAAAGCTTGAATACATTGATTACATAACTTCATAACAAGAATGCTACATGTATCACTTTACAATTGATTTCATTCAAGTCTTTTTATGTTGCACTAGATTAAGAATTTTGCAATAATGATTAACCAGTTGTACTTCTTATTCTTATCTTATTCGTGAGTGACTTTCTACAATACCCTTTGTGTAAATAAATGTAAAATGACATTATATTATGGAACGCCTCAGCTGGCTTATGTGGAACTCTGATATTACTTTATGTTGTTTTATTATTACTTGATGATATTTTGTCTTTACTTAATATGGTTTTGACATTACGTAATGATGTTTTGATATAACTCAATATGGAATAGTCATTACTTAATGATATTTCGACATTACACGATATGGTTTCGTATTGACTTGATATAGTTTTGTCATTACTCGATATGGTTTTGTCATTACTCGATGTGGTTTCACCATTATTTAATGTGGTTGTGTCATTAGTCAATGTGGTTTTAACATTACTTGATGTGAATGTGACTTAACGTTATGTAGTTGTTTCATTACATGATGTGGTTTTGTTATTTCGTAATGATGATTTGCCTATTCTTTATATGGTTTTAACATTACGTAATGATATTTCAAAATTTGACGATTTTACACTACATGATGTGTTTGTTTCATTATTTGATGTGGTCCTGTCATTCTTTGATGTGGTTATCCCATTACTTGATGAGGTAAAACCACGTGACCAATTCGGAAAAAATATGTTCTATTTTTAAACAGATTTCAATATATCATTTGTTTAATGTGCTTTGGATGGGTATCGCTATCCATTGAGTTAAAGTTCAAATTAAAGCTCGAGTGGTTGTTCAGAGTTATTTAGCATGAAAAAGGTAACCGGCAGACAATAATAAGAAAAAAAGTATTAAAAAGTTTACAGTATTTCTTACATAATTGGGATATCCCCAAACCACTTTGTCTTGTTGTTTTTATCCTAAGTTCTCAAACGAAAGCAGTATTTTTGTAATAAATTTGTAAAATATTCCACGGAACCCTATGTCTCGCCTGATATTGCTGCTGTAAGTGTAAAAGCGTCACGTTGATCGGCTGTACATTTATCTATATATTTATCGGTAAAAACAAAATTAAAAAAAAAGTTTTTCTGTAGATGCTTTTTCTTGAAATTGAAGAATAACTCCTATACTCCTATACAAATTTTAAAATACTTCATGGAGGTTTACAAATTTATCATGTCAAAACAGTTTAATTCGGTTTTATTTAACTAAAACAAAACTGTATGGATTTCAACAATAAGCAAAACCCATACCCTATAGTAAGCTATAAAAGGTCCCGAAATGAAAAACGTAAAAAACTAGAAACTTTACGATCTATAGATAGATAGATAGATGGATAGATACTTTATTCTCTAAAAACTAATTACAAGTTTACAGAGAAACATACAATATAAATACAGATACAATAGTTGAGGTAAACAAATACAGTACGATATTCTAAAAGTACAAAATTATAATGGCATACGTGTTTAGTAACATGTATAATGAAAGGTTTAACTCAATAGAAATAAAAAAAGAATTGAGATAGAGACGCCGACGCCACTATCGACGACGAAATATAGGTTTGTTGGGTCTCACTGCCGCTACATTGATGTCGCAGGCTCGACACAAATCAAACGACTTGAACTTTAATGTTAACAAATGAAGCGCTTCAAATCAACTCACACTAAAGTTACAGGGAAACGTGGGGAGGGGGCTCGGACTTAGCGACAAAGCATCAATACTATAAAATAAGAATTCTCCGATTTTTTTTTAGCGTAAATGATCATTTGAACTTATACAATTATCAATCTTTTATTTGTAATCAATTGAATTTCCTGATCTACCTCGCACTAATTGAAAAATAAACTTTTTGGAATATCTGTTTCACATGTGACGACGGACATGTTCCAGTGGTCGTAACCATAATACCGTCATCTTTTTCTTGAATGTGAACTACCAAATAAAACCAAATCACTGGGTTTGTACTTTCTCGAATAACACGGCGGGTGCCTTTCTGGAGGCTGGGGGATATTGTTTTACCCCTGTCCGTCCGTCCGTCCGTCTGTCCGTCCCATTATGGGTATATAGTTATTCCGCATAACTCCTCCTACAGTTTGAATGCTAGGAAGTTTTCGCTCTGCTGGCTGTTTGTACATATATTGAAGGTGTGCATGTGGTCAGGGTTTTTATTTTTATTATCTTTTGCTCTTTTGGGAGATATTTGAACTTTTTTTTGTCATTTTTGGGGTATAAGCGGTTAAATGAGTTGCGTGCGGGGCATCACTTTGTCTAGTTTACATTTTTTCTCGTGTTGTGCAGTTACACAAGTGTAACAGTCCGATGTAAGGTTAGGATTTAGCGCTCACATACATGTTAGACTCCGCCACGTGCACTTTCTTTATGTACCTGCCCCAAGTTAGGAGCACGAGGTTCAATTGTTGTCGTTGTATAAATGTGTGTCATTTTTTTTTGTAGATTGTTTAAATATAAATAAGACCGTTTGTTTTTTCGTTTGAATTTTTTCACATGGTGCATGGTGGCCTTTTATAGCTGACTATATGGTGTGTTGAAGGCTGTACGGTTGCCTATATATGATTTCTTACATCCACTGCATTTAAACTCTGGTGGATAGTTGTCTCATTGTCAATCACATCACATCTAACTTTATTTCAACTTCTATGTTGCGTTTTGTATACTGTAACATTGTTTATCTTTTGAACGCATACCCCGGAGCCCTCTTTTCGGAATCCCGAGCAAAAGTCCTTGTTCCGCGATAGAAAATTTAATTACGAACTCATGTAAGATAGCACGAATTTCAACTCAAAATCTTAATTAATCTAAATGAGACTTATATTCGAATCTTACTCAAACTCAAAAAGTGACTCAAATTTAATGATGTAACTAGAACTCTACCTTTAAATGTGACTCAAACTTGAAGTCCAACTCGAAACTCAATGCTAACTAAAACTTTAATTCTAATAATGACTTGAATTCGGAATCGGAGACTAACTCAAAGTTCTACTCAAACAGTAACCCTAACTTTAATTTGAACTCTAATTCGATGGATGGCCGCACTCATCCAAGGCACATACAACATGGAAATCTATCTAAAAATAGAACAGGTTTTTTCCGAATTGGTCACGTGATTTTACCTCATCAAGTAATGGGATAACCACATCAAAGAATGACAGGACCACATCAAATAATGAAACAAACACATCATGTGGTGTAAAATCGTCAAATTTTGAAACATCATTACGTAATGTTAAAACCATATAAAGAATACGCAAATCATCATTACAAAATAACAAAACCACATCATGTAATGAAACAACTACATAACGTTAAGTCACATTCACATCAAGTAATGTTAAAACCACATTGACTAATGACACAACCACATTAAATAATGGTGAAACCACATCGAGTAATGACAAAACCATATTGAGTAATGACAAAACTATATCAAGTCAATACGAAACCATATCGTGTAATATCGAAATATCATTAAGTAATGACTATTCCATATTGAGTTATATCAAAACATCATTACGTAATGTCAAAACCATATTAAGTAAAGACAAAATATCATCAAGTAATAATAAAACAACATAAAGTAATATCAGAGTTCCACATAAGACAGCTGAGGCGTTCCATATTATATTATTATGTACTTTCGAATCATTTTCAGGCAGCATGATAACCACTGCTTTGTGATTTAGTCGTGGTGGATGAAAACAGCAATTCAAGAAATCAAGCAAGCTAATTTGTCAACCAGATATAAGAGGGTCTGGATGGGGTTGACAAAAT